AGGCCTCAAATCTGTCCCATCAGAAGATGAAGGCCTGAAATTTCACCATTCTCCCACAAGGGTGAGTAGAGATTTAGTTTCTAACAAAGTTGGTGCAAGGCTTAAAACTGAGCCCAAAGAGAGCCTCACTACTACTTCTGCAAAGGGAGGTTGTAGATCCTCACAATCTCATGAGGGGGGCCTCAGATGTTCTCCATCTCCTCAAGGCAGCCCTAGATGTTCCAGATCTACCAAAATCAAATTGGAACAGGTCCCCGCTAACAAAGCAGATGTTCATGTTTCCCATTCAGAACACGAGGGCTGCAAACTACGCTCTTTGTCTAAAATAGAGTCTAAGCATTCATCCTCCAGAAGGGACCAGAAACCAAAAGCTACTCATCATGAATGCATAGAACCTTCCATCTCTAAGGGAGGCTTCAGATCCTCACGATCTCATGAGAAGGGTGGAAGAAGTTCTGCATCTCCCCAAGCCAGCCATAAATGTTCCAGGTCTATTAAAACTAAATTGGAACAGGCCCCCTCTAACAAAGCAGAGGTTCATGCTTCCCATACAGAACATGAGGACTGTAAGCATCTGTCTTTGTCGCAAAGAGGATTTAGTCATGCTTCATCTGCCAAAAGGGACAAGAAACCTGACACTACTCCCCAACAGAGCATAGAAGGTTCCACTTCTACAGAAGAGGATATAGCAACTTCTCCCTCTCATGAAGAGACCCTCAGACATTCTACCTCTCCTCATGGGACTTCCAGCCTTACTTCTACTTCTCCCAGAACAAGACTCAGGCATTTCCCTTATACTCAAGAAGTCATCAAAACTTCCACTGAAGCCCAAGAAAGCTTCAGGTCATCTCCAGATGGAGACAGTCCCAGAGGGAGTGTCAAATCTTCCTCTTTGTCCCAAAGCAATGATGTCAGACATCCTGTTTCTACAAAGGAGAACGTTAAACACACTCTTTCCATTCAAGAGGGACACAAACCTTCCACTGGTGCCAGAGAGGGGAGTGGGACTTGGATTCCTGTACAATGGGGACTCATATATCCAATTCCAAAAGGAAGTGGCGCATCATTCCCTGTTGTCCAAGGAAATTTCAGACATACCCGACCTCAACTGGCGAACATAAGATCTTCCCTCTCTTACCATGGCAGAGGCACAGCCTTCCAATATGAACATGGGACCCCCATATATAACCCTTCTGTCCTAGGAGGGCACAGATATTCACATTCAGTCTCATGCAGTCTCCGAAGGACCCCGCTGCAAAAAATGCGCCTGAGTTCTTACCTCTCCACTCAAGAAGACATCAGACCTTCTCAATGTGACCAAAGGGGGCTCAGACTTTCCTACGGCCACCCTGTCCAAGGCAGCTTTAGAATCTTTCAATCTGAAAGAGAGAGCCTCAAGAAAAGCCCATCTAAATCACTGAGCCTCACATTTGCTCCTTCTGACCAAAGGGAATTCAGAAATGTGCCCTCTAATGTAGAGTGGGTTAGATCTTCAACTTCTGCTCCAGGAAGCCTCCAACATAATCCTTCTGCCCATGGAGGCTTCAAACCTTACAAGCCTGTCAAACCGAATTTCTAAAGATGCTCATCTCAAGAGGGGATCCTGGGTCCTACTCTCTCTTATCATGCCATCTTTAGATCTTCTTATTCACAGGCCAGCCCCATATTTTCCTACTCTGTGCGCCACATGAACAAAAGGAGTTTATAACTTTCCCTTCTCATCAAACACCTGTTGAACATTTGATTTCCATTCCTAGCTATCTCAGATGCACATTGAGGCATCCATCAGATTGGTCCATCTGACTATAAAGAGGTCAGGCATTTTCCATCTGATTATTAATAGGTCACAGTTTCTATATAGAACATGATATACAATCTATTACCCACGGAGAATAGCATGTGCTTCTTCTGACTAATGTGGCCCTAGACTTACTTCATATGGCTTAGTGGGTGCCAGATCAACTCCCTCTGTCTAAGAGGTTCTGGGTGTTTCTTATTCTAATCATCTGACTTCAAAGCCTCTGTCCAAAAATAAAACTACCCTGGTGCCTGAAGTTCTAGAATGTTAGATCACCCAGCAGTGCCCTAAACCCAGTATGTGTGCCTTAACTCCATCAGCAGAAATAAAGAAATCACACCTGTCATGTTCAGATGTAGACAGCTGAATTGGTCCAGAGACCTAGCTGAGAATTGCCTCCTAGCAGGTTGGAGACTGATCACACTGCTGCCTGCCCTGCATGACATGGTTATTCTATATTCCCATGAAGATTTGATCAGGAAATGTTCAGACTTCTCTAATTCCCAAATTAATTGTTGATATCCCACACTTCCCATAAGAGTCTTTGACCTTTCTGTATTTCTCAAAATAGCATAAGACTTTCTGTCTCTAAAGACAGAAAATTTTGTACTCAAAATTCCCTGTTTGTCTGTGGATGCTTCATTCTCATTCTGTATAGGGGTTCTCCATTGTTTTTATGACAAAGGGGCCCCAGACTTATTCTTTCAGGCCCAGGAGGACTCATCCTTTTTCCCAGTGACTGAAATGGAGCTCAAATTATTTTCAAGGGCTTACCGTGTGCTCAGGCACATCTCTTCTGAACCAGGATGCAGAATGCACTCCACTAATTCTCAAGCAAGCTATAGCCCTATCAGTACAGAACCAGAGCTATTCCAAATGGATGTATGGATGAAGGGAGCTTCTGACCTCTCCTTCAGTACTGGGGGGTCTCAGGTCTTTCCCAATGGTCAAGGTGGCCTCAATCTTTTCTGTCTAGAACAAAAGTAACTCACAACTTTTACCAGTAAACTAATAACCCACCAACAACAAAAGCTTCAGTCATTACCTGGTGTTCAAGGGAAGATTGACACACCATTCCTTTGAGAACCAGAAGACCCCAGACATTCACTAATTGCCCAAATGGACCTCATACTTACAACTTCAGAACAAGGGTGCCATGCACATCCTCAATGCTGAAGGGAGCCTGAGATATATCTTGAGGAGTAAAGAGGCCTCAGACTTCCACAATGCCCCAAGAAGGCCACAAATACAAACCCTTTAGAATTAATGAGCCATAGAATTTCTGCTAAGTTATATTGGGGATTCAGATTTATTCCAGAATCAGGACAGTTCAGGCCTCCAGCTACCAACTCCATCATGTCTTAGATATTCCCTTCAAAATTAAATTAATTCACTAGTTGAGGAAGTTTACACCTTGGTGCACTGTCTTATGAAGAGGGATTTTAAAGTTATTTCCTTCAACCACAGTAGCCCCTGACTTTCATACTTTGCCAAAGGGGGGTTTCTGTAACATGCTGCTTCCTTTGTCTTTACTGCGGGAATCTGAGACATGCCCGTTTGATGAAGTAAGCTACAGAACTGGCCCGGTGACTGAAAAATGTCTCAGATATTCAGACTTGGTTTACAGGTACTTGAGATTGACTCCCTATTACTAGGTAAACATCACAGCTTCTCTTTGTGTTCATGGCCGACTCAGGTCTACCAAATAACTAATCGAGACTAGAGCTTCTCCCTCAGAACTGAATGGTTAAGAAATATGCTTCTGACCACCAAAAGAACCTCATGGAACTGTAGATTGAAGTTGCATGGCAGAAGAATAAAAAGTACCCTGGATCTAAGATCATCTGTTTTCAAGCTGCACACCAGATATATGCCTGTCCTCCATGTCTACACCTGTGCAGCTTATCCAGAGTTTAAGTAGGGAATAGACCTAGGGACTATAATTCAACTTGCAAGAAGAACCCTCTGATTGCGTTTAAGCCTCAAAAGAAGTCCTCAGTGTTAGGAATTTTCTAGAGTTCACTGAAGAGTTGGAGGACTAGGGAGTGCCTGGATCTTCTCCTCTACAAAAGGTAAGCAGTGGCATTCCCATTAGCCAAACAAGGTCTGTGATCTGTCTCCTTTCCAAAACATTATTATTATTATTATTATTATTATTATTATTATTGTTATTATTATTATTATTATTGTTATCTCTGAAACCTTAGGTCTAAAAATACCCCTTTTGGCCCAAATGGCCTTCAGAAATTTCCCTCTGAGGAAGGGCACATGGAATATTTCACCATTGAACAAAGAGCATTGGTCACTGTGGTTAGTTCACAGAAGTCAAGAAGATTAGACTAATCCAGGAACCCAATGCCATTTCCTTAAATAAAGTAGCCATGGTATAGACTTTTCAGTCATACCCAGTCCTGTTTGCCTGCACAGAATTCTTAGGCATCAACCACACTGTGCCTTCCACCAAGTATCTTACTGAATCCTGATATTGATGCTTCGTCTCTTGCAGATTCATCTACAGATATGGACATCCTAAACTATGAAGAAGAGTTAGATGGTGAGGAAATTCTAGGAGCTTATGAAGTATCAAAGTCAATTGAATTTTTGATCATGGTTATATGGGATTTTCACATTCTGATCATATCTCCCCTGCCTCATGGGTCTCAGGAACTCCTTTCTTCACAGGGCTACTCACTCTTCCCTTTGGTCAAGGAGATATCTGATCTTCATCCTGGAATAAAGGGAGTCCTACATCTTAACAGTTTGTACAAAGGTTTAGATGTTCCTTTCGTGTGAGGGGCCCATATAATTTCTGATATTATGGAATGGACCTCAGACATTATTCTTAATAAATGGGTCCCAGATTTGCACTTCCGTAAACTGTAAACACAATATTGATCCAATGAGAGCCTCTGACAATAAATACCCTGTGAAGGACGGTGGTTATATTCTACTTTCCTTGAAAAAGGGGATTTTAGACACACCATTTACCTTCATGTGTACTGATAGAAACACACCTGATTAAGGGGATATAGACCAGACCAGTGAAATGAAGACTCACTCAGATGTTCATCTTTTTGTCATGTAAACTCCAAATAAGCACTCCCTGACCTTGGCTTCCTCAGAAAAAAAAAAAAACTTTTATCTACAGAAATCTCAGCTCTATTTCTCTCACTGAGAAGATGTTAATCTTTTCCCTTCTGACCTGGGTGTTCAGGCATGCCCAAATGACCAAAGGCATGTCAGAGTACTCTGAACTGATATCCTGGGACAAAACAGTAAAAAAAAAACTGTTCCCTGATTAAACCCTTTTACTTTTAAGATTCTTACCAGAAATGGAGTGGTCTCATCTTGTCTCATACGCCTGTGCTACTGATGAAAGGCTTGTGGAGGACACAGAGCTAGGAGCTGCTAACCAGTCCGTAAGAGAAAAACTCTGCTTCCCATGTGGATCTCCTGAGGAAACTGGGAGCATGGGGACATTGGGAGAGAGTTGAAGGGGAGGGGAGATGCAGAGAGGGGAGCAAAGAAAAATGTAGAGCTCAATAAAAATCATTTATAAAAAGAAAAAAAAAACTCTGATTGCTTGAAACCAAGCTTCAGTGCCCCAAAACACATGGGTATTCTATAGTGTGAGGACATTTGGACCTGATAAGATATTGGCTGATTCTTCTAGTTTTCAAAGTAACCTGGGAACTTCATCTTCTCCCTGAGGGTTTCTGGAACTTAGGGCTCTTTCCTACCTTCCCAAAACACTCTCCCTTTCAAACATGGGGCCTGAAACCTTCCATGAATGACCTCATAGGTCTTCTATCAAGCTGTTCAGGAATAGGTCTGTGGGAGACTCTCTCTATAAACAAGGGACAATAGTCCACTCTGGTTTGAGGTCTCATAGGCATGTTTGGCAATCAGAGCATAGAATCCAATACCATCTGCCTTCAGATCAGTCAATATAAATGGAATGACTTCAACATCTCTGCCAAGATCAGGACTGCTGAACACAAACTACAGGAAGTAACCTAGCCAGGAACAATCATCCAGGTCTTTGGAAGAAGACATAGATTGTTACAGCCTTGTCTCTCTCAGGAGGAACACAAACTATGAATAAGAGTTGGAAGCTCATGATCAGTGTTAGGAACTTTCTCCACTATATGAGGTGCCCAAGATATTCCAATTCAACAGAAATGTGTATGACACTTTCACCCTCTGCCCAAAGGCGATTATGTCCTCATTTTTCAATGGGGTCTCAGAGGTTTCCTCTCTTACATTGGGCTCAGAATTTTCACTTTTCTTCTTCTTCTTCTTCTTCTTCTTCTTCTTCTTCTTCTTCTTCTTCTTCTTCTTCTTCACATATTCCTTCTCAATACATGGAACAGGATGTCAGAATTCTCCTAAGATGTAGATTTTCCTAAACCCCATTTTCCAATGAGCCCTACCCTAAAATATTTGTTTGGTGTTATATGGTCCTTATATATTCCCATTCCTCCCAAGTGACTCTGTCTTTTATCTTCTCATTACAGGGGTGTCAGACCAAGAGTGGATTATACCACCAAGTAAAACAAGTATCAGACATTCATGATCTTCCCTGAAGGTTTGTGAGCCAATTATCTACTTCCATCTAGGAAGAGGATTTCAGAAGTTCAGTTTCCACAAAAGGAAATCTGAAAAATCAAACCCTATTGAATGGTCTCTCGAAACTGGCCCCTGTATACAAGGGATGTCTCAGACCTCCATTCTCTGATCTTCAGCACGTTAGTCCACTCTAAGACTAAAGAACCATCAAGCTTCCCTTCTTTAGTTGGTGACCTCGCACGTTCCCCTACTAACTAAGATTGCTTTGGAGCTGGCCCGTCTGACCAAGACAACCATACAAACACATATGAGAACAATGGGATCTCACAACTTTCTGCTTTAAGATTACAGGACAGAAGCTCTCAAGCCATCTGTCTCCATGTTTGGTTATCAAAAACGCACTATTTCTTTTATTCACAGATATGTACAGCTGAACACAACCTTGAGGAAACATCAATGCTTGCATAACCACTTAGCCTGTTGGAAGATTGTTAGGAGATTTGCCTTAGACTCTCAAAGATTTCACACAAGGTATGCGTTTGCATTGAAAAAATAGCTGATGTTAGTGCAGAGCCAGAACCTTTTCCCATTATCCAAGATGCCTTGGGACCTTCCTGTTCTGATCATGATTGAAGCGCATAGTAGTATTCTACCAAATGTGACTGGAGCCCTCCTCGCTGTGAATAAAGACATTTGGGATTTCTCATTTGCTGAAGGTAGTCTCAGAACTTCCCATTCTGAGAAGAGGTTGTCAGGACTTCCCTGTTTATAAGAGACCTCATGTATACTTTGTTTATTGAAGTTTTCATGAGAACCACCCTGGGTCAGACTGGGCCATCATCCTTCCCTCCATTAAAAATGTGTACTTACACCTTATCCACCTGTACAAAGGAGACTAGGAAGCACTGTCTTTGACTCCAGGAAACTCATGCATTTCTTTTATTCACAAGGTGACATTAGAGATGTTATTTTGAATAATACTGCATCCTACCTTGTAGGATTCTATCAAAAATCCTCAAACATTCCATTCTGCCTTTGAAGTACCTCCAAAAAGCTCTAAACAAAATTATTTAAACCTTTTATACTTGATGCTGGTGGCTAGGAAACTGCATTGCTCCACTCTAGGTTGTGGGCCCCTGTCATAACTTTAGAATTAGAAACTGAATCTTAAGCTATGTTTTTCAATCCAATCACTAGAAATCACCTGACCCCATCACTGCTGCCCAGACATGGACTATGAAAACAACCTGAAAAAAAGAGGAGACCTAGCTGTTGACAGACATCTAGGTACATTGAAGAAGACTCTCATTGCTGCCTGAACTCTCTAAAACTCAACACAAGATGAGGAAGCTCTAAAGAAGAGTTGGAAGCTGAAGTGCAGTAATGGGACCTAACTTCACTGAATAAGGTAGTAAGGGCATTCACCTTCAACAGGATGGTGCATGACATTTCTCCTCTTTGTGCAAGGGTTTTCCAACTCATACCCTTGCCCTAAACAGGTCACAAAAGGCCAGTGCTTCCACTCTCCTCAAGTTATCTTATTCCTTTTACTACACTGATGAAAATGGTAGACCTCCCTCCTAGGACAAAGCCTACTGCAGACCTTCCCCATTTTCCTAAGGTCGTCTCAAGAATTCATTTTGTGGCAAAGACCCTCAAATTTTACCTTTGAATAAAGAGGCCCCATATTAAATATTTCTTACACCACTCACACTGTAACAGTAAGGGTCAGATTTGCCCATATTCAGTCCAGTGTAGTGAAAGGGGGAGCTATGATTACAAACTTCAATCATAAAAATTACAAAGATCCCATTTTTTTTGCCAAGAGTTGTCTGATGAATAAGAGCTCAGAATTGCAACCAAAGGGGTTGCAAATCATTCACTCTGTATTTAATTGAGCTACAGGTCTAGCCACTGAGCCTGGGAGGCCCTAGAGCATCCCCTTCCTTTCATGGACACATTTCACTTGATTCTTGGACTCCTATTACCTTAGTGTCAATCCCAGGGGCTAAGATTGCTAAGAAAACACTTTTGTAACCATGGGACCTCACAAGATTCTAGGTAGAGGGGAAAAAATAAAAAGCTAAAACTAATAATTATGCCATCTGCCTAGAGTGTAGATGTCAGAAATGCAAAAGGCTCTTATCTTTTATGTAAATGAAGACTGTGCTTATGTTTCCCAACTGCCCAAGCACAAATAATTACACAGAAAATATATTAATTACAATTCCACGTAGCCTATTAGCACAGGCTTCTTATTAACTAACTCTTACATCTTAAATTAACCCATTTTTATTAATCACTGTATCACCATATGGCTGTGGCCTACTGGAAAAGTTCTGGTGTAGTTCTACTTCAGTAGCTACATGTCCTGTCCTGGACTCCACCTATTTTCTTTTTATATCTCTTCCAGCCTGGCTATATTCTGCCCTGCCATAGGTCAAAGCAGATTTATTCATTAACCAAAAAAAAAGAAAAGAAAAGAAAAGCATATACAGAAGGACATTCCACATCACTTACATTGATGGATAAACACAGATAATTACAACCCTGAGGAAGCATCAAAGTTTACACAACCACTCATCATGTTGAAAGAGTGTTGTAATTGCTTCTTGTACCCTTCCCAACAGTTGATGTAATATATGGATCATGGAAGTTGGGAGCACAGTAGGAATCAAATGATGCTGAACCAAACTACTCAAGTAAAACTAGCATTTTCCCTTCTGCACAAT